ATGGTATTTCAGTAAATGGGAGCCCCATTTGGGCCCCATTTACTGTCAAATATGACACTGACAAGCGGGAAATTTCGCACCTGGGCTGGAGATTTCGAGACCCTTCTGGGTTACCTGGAGGAAACTATATAAGCGACGACGAGAACCATGGGGAAAAAATGAAGTGACAGGAGCGACCGGGTGCAGAAGAGGTTAAAAAAAGGTGTGTTATTGTTATTGTTTGTGAAGTTGACGTTAATTTAGAAGTTAGTTTGTTCCTGTTCCATAGTTAAAGTTGTACCGAGTGGAATAAAAGTTGGAAGCAGAAGAAAGAGTTTGATACTCTGCCATCCACGGTACAATATGTTACTATAATAATCGTCTTACTAAATAGCAAAACATTAATGTTTAGTTTCTATTTAAATAAAAATATATAATGCTACATTAATAATTGTTTTCAATTAAAGCTGTTACTATTCTAACGCACCCCAGTGAGTTTTCGTGTTAGCCGATAGGTATTGTTTCGCTAAAACCTTCATATTCTTCTCTACTTGCCCTGACTTTTCATGGCTTTGATGTGAACGGTGAACTATACTCCCTATATAGGTGTTCGGTGATTCTGATTTCTGTGACCTTTTAATACTTTTCATAACGACGTTTTTCTATGAACATGGAGTTCAGGCGTTTGACTGATTTTGTAAGATCCGATCTCCTGATTTCTAGAATGTCGTTTCACCATGCACATATAATTCGGTATATGTAACCAACGGTGAAGTTATGATGCGTTACTTACGATATTTTTGTTCGCTTTTTCTTACATATTTTTTTCGTTCTATATTATGTCTTCGTTAAATTCATTCAAGTCTACATCTCCCAAACTAAAAGTTAACTACCGTTTGTCATTTATGTTGGGAATTTTCTATGCTGAAACAAAACAAGGTAAAGTTTGTCGTCCTAAGAACCAAACAAAATTTTATAAGTGTTCTTTTAAATCTTAGAAAATACAGTTAACACAAAGAGAAAATACTTTCCAAAACTCTACAACCATGGCTCAAATCAGGAACTATTGAAAATTATATCATGAGAAATATGAAAAAGAGTAAGATGAATGAAAAACAACACTAAAAAATCAAGTAATAAAGACTATACAGGGTGATTCAAAATTGGCGTCATTCGTCTGGAGGTGTTGTTTAGGAGGGTTTTAGGAGTATAGAAAAAATATGAAAAAAATAATTGTTATTAAGAACTTAGAAATTTATATATGACTCATATACAGGGTATTACGTATATATGTTAAAATATTTTAACAGCGTGTTCATTTAGTCATTTAAAATTTTTTTTAACTTGAGGTCTCTTGATATCTTTGATATATTTGATTTCCAAAATGGCGGGAAATATTAGTTTTGGTTGTTTTCTCTAAAACGGTTAAACATAGAAACTTCAATGTTGGCATTCATTATAAGCTAATTTAGTCCCATTTTTCTGGTAGTGTTTTGTGGTTCAGTTTACTTTTATACAGAGTAGAAATGAGGAACCGCTACTTTTGTTTTGTTTAGAACTTTTTTGTGTGCACTTAAACTTTTATTAACATAATTGTTATAATTACTACAACTTATTTACCAACTTTTTAATCTCTTATCGTTTTTTCCTAAGACCACTAGTTTGCCGGGAAAAAAGATAAACTGGTTTTCTTTGTCGTTCTCAAAATGTGTACGTAATTAAATTAATTCTTTATATTTTAATAACGTTTTGATGTAATAATTTTGGTACGCATTATTAGTTAATTACTAACAACCTAAATTCGAACAACCTTTTTCGAAATTGTTTATTTTGGTTCAGATTACAATTATTGAGCTTTAATATATGAATGATATAATTTTCTTCGATTGTATTCACTTCTGTTGAATACATCGCATCTTTTAAATGGCCCCAGTAGTAAAAATGAAGCGCGTTTAAATCGGGAGATCTAGGAGGCCACTTTATAGGAGCTTCTTAACCTCTCCTAATCAAACGGCTTGGGAAGTTTTGATCAAGCCAATGTCGGACCTGCAAAGAAAAATGAGGAGAGGCGCCATCGTGCATATACCGCATTTGTTGTTGTAGGTGGAGAGGCAAATCTTTCTATGAGTCAAAAATATTAGTTAATAAAAAAATCAAGTTCTTAGTCCCTCCTAAGCGTCTAGGTAAGATCTGCTGTCTATTAAAAAATGTACTATTTCAGCTGAGACTTTGAGAGAAAACGAATATTGGTATTTTGTTGTCATGACTGAATTCGGATTTCCGGCAGATGATTCGTGCATATTGTGGTAATTAAAAACGCCTCCTCTTGTAAATAAAGCTTCATCTGTGAACAGTATTTGCTGGGTGAATTGAGGGTTTCTATTACGATTGCTTAAAATTTCTGCGCAAAATATTACTCGCAGTTCATGATCTGTTGATAATAACACTAGTACTCTTTTAAAGTGGAAAGGATGCTTGTTTTATGATAAAATGCGCCAAATACTAGTAGCAGAAATATACAAATGTCTTGATGCCCCCGGATAGATAATCTTCAATTGCTATCAAAATAATTCAAAACGCACGTTCTTGTCGAATCCTAATTACATACCCCCACCTTCATTTGGTTGACGGCTAAATGTTCCAGTTGATAGTAATCTTAAATGAATATTGGTAAAATTTGGATGGCTAAGAACTCGACGATTAGGAAATCTTTCGGTATAAAACCTTGAGGCTTGAAGAGCGTTGTCATGACAATCTTCGTATATGAAATGCATATCTATATTTTCTTTATCATTATAATAATTATTGCTGTTATTCATATTTTATGTCTAACATAAAACTAGTGCAACAAAGAAACCAACCAACTAAGCTTACTTAACTTGAAAACTGTCAGCATCCGCTGTAAAAGTTTGACAATGAAAACTAAACGATACTTCACTGTCACAGACACAGCCTCCTCGGTCTATTGAACTTGTACTCAAACGTTATTAATTAAAAATGTCACTTAGTTACTTACACATTTTCAGAACGGCAATGGAAACGATTTTATTTTTTTCGCGGGCAAACTAGTGGTCTTAGAATAAAACAATAAGAGACAAAAAAGTTGATAAATAACTTGAAGTAATAAAAACATTATTCGGATAAAAGTTTTAGTGCACACAAAAAAGTTCTGAACAAAACAAAAGGGGTTCCACATTTCACCCTGTATAAAAGTAAACTGAACCACAAGACAGTACCATAAAATGGCACTCCCTTAGCTTATAACGTATACCAAAATTGAAGTTTTTATGTTTAACGGTTTTAAAGAAAAATAACAAAAACTGATATTTTCCGTCATTTTGAAAATCAAATATCTCAACAATGAGACCTCCAATTTCAAAAATTCTGTTAAAATATTTTATACCCTGAATATTTACAATATCAGAATTACAGCGACAATGCTTTTTAAGGATATCAGCCTAATTAACATTATGTAAATACCTGTTTCTTATGCATTCGGTTAATTAGCTCCTGCTCAATTTGTATCGGTGTTCAGAAAATAATTGGTTTAATGGGTCCTAGTGTATCTTACAGACGTGGTAGGAATGTAGCCCTTCTTCGGTATTTATTTGGTGCCTGGGAAACTGTCAATTGTTGTGCTGAGTACCCCTGGAAGGCTCCGCTGCAATGATCTCCAATACCTGTTCCTCTCCTCTCCAATTTTCCAGTGTCTAGCCCTTTGTTGGTGTAAGTTTTTGCAGCTCCTGTGTTAATGTGGCATTCCCCCATCCCCCATGTCTAATAGCATATCCGTCTATTCGATATTGGTGTAAATTTTGTGAAAAAATCTTCAAAGTTAGCTTAACAATTTGACAAACGTTTATTATTCTTGCTCTCTTATGACTTGCCCGACAATTTCATTATGTATCACAGGCTTACATCTCGTTGGTTCCCTGGCAAATGTCATACATTTTGTCTTAGATATTGATATTTGCATATTAAATTGTGTGCTGACCTGAATGAATCTGTGCGGTTATTTTTGCAAATTCACCTCCGTTTTTGCCAAAATTGTCGCGTCTTCAGCGTACCAAATTGTACTAATGGGTTTTCTGTTGATCCTATACCCCATTCTTAAGCCACTGATCTATTCAATGATCTTCTCCATAATCACGGTGAACAGAAACGGGCTTAAGCTATCCTCTTGTCTTAAACCCTGTGATATCGGTTGTTATTTGTTGGTTTATGATCAACTTTAATTCGGGTTGAATTGTCTGTGTTTAGCCATTATACTGTTCCGCCGGCGTTCGTTTTTTTATCAAGATGTTGATAATGTCTTCCAGTCGGACACGGTCAAATGCTTTTGTCAAATCGATAAAACATGCAAAAGCGGGGGTGTCGTTCTCTCTAAGTGACCCCCTATTACCCCCTTAAAAGGAATGACAATTTTGAATCACCCTGTATTATGAAAGTATTATTGAACATGTGTTTATTGAACGTACTTCCAATTACATAGAATAAAGCCCTTTAATAATCCTGTACAAAGGCTTTCGAAACTATCGACCCATCGATCAGCCTCTTGTTGCCTCCTAGACAACCCATCTTAGCCTGGACAAATTGTGCATAAAAACGCCAGCAATTGGATGTAAGTGCCTACACAGTAGGTAGGTTTGAGATCGGATTTTGGTCAAACGACCACTTACCATTAAATGGTTTATGAAATTACTACATTTGCGTAGAACTAATGCAGTGTAATATTACAAATGATTGGCTTATATACTATTTGTAGATTATGCAAAAGCGTTTGACTTGGCAGTAGTGGTAGTGTCAACAGTATTAAGTAAGTAAGTATGTGAAGTATCTCGTTATTTTTTGGTAAGTTTTCTTCTTTTCTTTGCAATGCTTTTCTGAAGAAAGGTTTGTTCTCAACATACCTATGTTGAGCGGTTATATCACGCAGCTGAATTTTGTTGCAAATTGACTCTAACACAAGTAGATGTTTACTTCCATCTCTTTTTCATCAATATCGTTCTCTTCAGTATTCCTATATTTTTTTGAACTGATCGCTGCGGGACACTTTCTGCTAATCAACCCATCTTCAACGCCAAACTGGTGGTATATAATGGTATACTTTAGTAAGGGCTCTTGATAAGGTTAGTGATTTTCTTGGTACTTCTCCTTGCATATGCTTATTTATTTCTACCTGTATTTTCGCTGCACTTGCTGCATTGCATTCTTCCATATGATTGATTACTGTCTTTTCTTCTGATACTGGATACACGGTCTCCTTTCCCCGTTTGTACATTTTTGTTGTGATACTTCTATCAGCTTCAAGCAGCCTTACCAAGTATTTTATCCAAATAGTTTTCCTCTCAGCAATGGAAACAATTATATTTACGTTTGGGTCTAGCAGTTTCCAATTTGTTGTTTTTCTCCTTATTTTCTCATCGTTCCTCTTTATGTTCACATTCTTTTGCGATTTATTTTCCTTTTCTATTCTTTTACCGCAAAATTATTTGTTTATTCTTTTTTGTTCCATCAGGTGTAGTACCCATATTTTTTCTAAATTATGTCTTTCTTGAAGAGTTTTATATATTCTATTGTTTATTTTAGGAATTTCTGTCGTTCTTCTAAGTGATTGTTAATTTATATTCCGAACACTGTTGCTCTCGGTTTGGCTTCCACGCTTTCTCGTAGTTTCCTAGTGACTTTTTTCAAAACCACTTGAAAGTTCAAAAATCACATTGTGGTCAATCAGGTGTTTATGTTCACATGAAATAAATGCTAAGTTCGAGTTACATACTGGATTGTCAGTTCTGTAACTGCAGGTTTTTATGCAAGCTTTTCTTTTGAAATTTTTGAAAAAAAAACAAAATTTACTATAACGATGACGATTAGTTAGTAGTAAAAACTTTACGTGACAACAGCTACTCAACAATGTCTTACTTTGAATCGTTCTAATAAGCCACCATGAGACAAGGATGAAATCAAATTCCAGGAAAGGTCCAGTTCGCACAATGTCTGAGCTGCCGGTATAGCTAGACTGTTGAGCGGCATTTTGCTCAGTAGGTTGCTTGATAAATCTAGCTTCTCCAGACCTGGAACAGATTTATTAATGTAAGGTATTTGTCACTAACACACAAATTCAGGCGTACCTTCTTCTCTAAACAAATTATCAGGCAGAGCTCTTATTCGGTTATTAGAAATGTCGACCATCCTCAAGTTGGCGAGAAATCTGAAGATGTCGTTTGGTATATCAGTAATGCGATTATGAGAAACGTCCAAAACCTGGAAAACCGTCCAATAGTGATACAAATATGAGTATGTCCCAATTTTTTTACTCAACTAGTACTCAACGAACATTAACTCGATTGTATCCTGTTATACCATTATACTATTATCTGAACGTGAGTACATGTGGCAGATGTTAAAATAAAATAGCGACTTGTGAGTGAGAAATATTCTTCTGAAAGCAGAAATTTAGTTCACTTAATTGATTTAGAGCAAACCTTTTTATTTTTTAATTTTTTCTGGCCTATTAAATAATCAAATTAAGTAATAATTGAAAGCAATAAAACAGAACTCCATAATGATGGACATTGGAACAAACTAAAGGAAGCTCTATTAAAACAGGCAAAAAACACCTGGAAAAGGAGAAACCAAAAAAGGAAAAAGTTTGGAAGACCGATGAAATCTTAACACTCAAGAATATGAGAAGAACATTTAAGGATAAAAATAAAGATCAATACAAACAAGTCAATATTGTAATTAAGCACAAGATTCGCAACGCAAAATAGCAATGGCTGGAGGACAAGTGTACGGAAATCAAAGAACTTGCAACTAAATATGATTCATTTAATATGGTGGCAAGAACAGAAAACAAGCGTCCATACTTAAAGATCAGCAGGGGAATATTTTGGTTGACATAAAGAAAAAGCTGAAAATATGGCAACTATATGTTGAAGACGAGAGACATACACCATGCGTTGAAAACTTAGAAGAGGAGACAGGACCAAGAATAACCGAGGAAGATGTTATTCATGCTATCAACTCGCCGAAAAACCGGAAATCACCGGGACCAGAGAGTCGAGAGTTTGAGATACCGTCAGAGCTACTGAAGTTTATAGAGGCAGAGCAGATACATCCATTAGTGAATTTCATTTAGGAGTGTTTTCCGGGCTTTGAAGCCGTGGTCTATGGGAATTTCTTCCTGACGTTTCGTCCACAACTGCGGTGGACATTATCAAAGGCGATGAGGCAGTGGGCGAAGTGATATCCCGTGCTTTCCGACTAAGACTGGTTCAACTGCTGGATTCCCCGTCGTATTTATGCAGCCCAGCCGCGTGTGCTCATGCGTGGGGGATGGGTGGGGGTTCAAATGCTTCGGCGCACACGCTGTTTGGCGCAAAACGCGCTTACAATCTGGATTGAGGGCCGTAATTTCTTCTTTTCTGTTGAAATTGTTTTGGTGTTTAAATATTTCGATGGCCTCTCTGGTGAGTCTCGGATAGTATCTTTCAGATTGGTGCAGAATGTCCACTTTGTCGAAGCGTATTTAGTGGCCGTCTAGCAGTGCGTGCTCCGCTACTGCTGATTTTTCTGTTGATGATCGCTTTGAGGCGCTCGAGGCGAAACTCGAGTCGACAATGTTGGAAGTCGCATTTTGGAGAGACCGGGCGGTGAAAGCGGAAACGCTGCTAGCCGCCAAGAACTCCAAAGTGTAGGATGTGGCTGCGGAGGAAAAAATAGAGGAGAGCGCAGCCTCCTCCAGCAGTGACAGTGGCTCAGTTGAGAGGCCCGCTGAGGCGGCAGCTCCCTCAATTGCCTCCAAGGAGGGCAGGGGCCCGGTGACGGACTCCTCAGACGGCGAGGGCTATCAAAGCTCAAGTCGCCGTCGAAGGAGGAAGCGAGCCAGCCAGGCCTGTGTCCTCCAGCGAGGACAATTCTAAGGCCCAGATTTTGCCCAGAAAAGCAGGAACTAATTGCCCTAGGATTCCACCCAACAACCATTGTGAGGTGGAAGAAAAATGGCCAGCCGATAGCAGTAGTCCTGGTGCTACTGCCAAAAACCGA